CCTTCACTGCACATGACCATGCCCACCTTCCAACTGCACCTGGTCACTGAGGGCAGGGGTTCCTCCCTCTGTCCCCCCACCCAGAACAGATCCAGACCCAGGCAGATGCTGGCAATAGCTGTTGAAGAAAGGAATAAGTGAAGTTCAGAACTTCTGATTCTGGTTTTGAAAGCCCTCCACACTGGCCTGACACGGCTTTCTGCGGCCCCTCCCACCTAAGCTGCAGCAGCCAGCGCAGTGGGGTTCCTCAGAGCTGCCTCCAGCTTCGGCCAGGCTTGCCTTTCCCGAACCTGCAGCACAGCTGGCCCTGGGCAGACTGGCCTCCTTTGGGAGCCCAGTTCAGACAGTGCCTCCACCAGGAGACCCGAGACAGCTGTCCCTTTGGCGGGTCTTGTCAGTTGTGAGGGACGCGGGTGGGGTCTGGGGTGGAGGCTCTGTGACCCTCTTTCTGCTTTGGCCGCAGCTCCCTGGAGGCTGTCATAGGTCTGCAGAGCAGCGGTGAGCTCTTCACCATCTCCGTGAACGGTGTTCTGTATCTGCAGGTGCAGGGGCAGGCTTGGGCATGGGGGGTACCACCTGGTTGTGGCCATGGGTGACCTGGCAGGGAGGGGTGCTGGTGGGCACTAAGGGGCTCTGGGTGCAGCACCCCAACTCCAGGCCTGGGAGAGGCATTGAGACCTCCCAAGTCCCACACTGAGGGCTGGTGCTCCTAGTGGTAGAACAGGGGTCAGCTCCAGGGCCCAGACTGACCTCCCTCATGACACCTGAGCCCATTGCCACTGCAGGAAGCAGCACATGTAGTTATTTCCTACACAAATCTCTTTCTAGCACTGGGGATTTGGGCAAGTACTCAAGGAATTGATGCAAAGGTGAGATTCACTAAAAAAAAACTGTCAGTGTGGATGTGTGAACAGGAGCTCACATTTAAATAGAACTATGCAGGTCCCCTTCTAAGTGACCCATTTCATTGTCACAGCGCTCTGAGGTGGGTACTACCATTATTCCCATTTACAAACAGGGGAACAAAGCACAGAATGGTTAAATAACTCGCCCAAGCTCACACAGCAGTCAGGATTGGAGGCCCAGCTGCTGAAAGGCATTTAGTGGTCTGGTCTGGTCCCAGGCACCAAACACGTGGGGGGAGTCAAATGGCTCACGGTGCACCTGGAGTCCGAAAATGCGGGAGGGGTGGGTCCCCGGAGTCTGCAGTTTTGGGAGTTCCCAGGGGATGGGATCCTGCTGGTGTGTGGACCACATCTGGAGCAGCCATGCCAGAGTACTGATCAGTCCCACGGTAGCCCTGCCCCGCAGGTCAGAGACCAGGCCTGTGGGACGGGGCCACCCTCACACCCCAGGTTAGAGCCTTACAGGCTCCATATGCAGCACAGAAGCATGTTGGACTCTTGACCCCCTGCTGGCCCTGAGCAGAGGTTCGCTCTCACAAATGCGAACTGCAGGAGCCCATAAGCGCAGGGGCCAATGGAGCTGGAGAGAAAGCACTAGAACGGGGCAGAGGTGCTGTTTTGAGGGTGTGTGCCAGTGGCCAGGCTGACGCTGCTCTTCTCACAGATAGGGCAGTATACCTCCGTCTTCCTGGACAACGCTAGCGGCTCCCTCGTCACTGTGCAAGACGGCTCCCAGTTCAGCGCTCTCCTCCTTGGCATCTGAGCAGTATCGAGCTGGGACCCAACAATCTCTGGGCAGTGTTGGAGTGACAGAGGCCACATGCAGGAGAAAGCCCATTCAACTGCACACAGTGGCCCCTGCAGTTCAGCCCAGAGATGGCCACTCCAGGCAGCCTGGGGAGGTGACAAGCAAACCTGCTGTCCCAGAACCAGAAAGGACTTTAAGATCCCGCTTCACCAGAGTTCAGCGCACCCAGGCCTGGGCCCCCCGCTGCTGGCCTATTGGCTTGTCTAAAATCTCAGTTCCACCGGCCTGCATGGCTCAGTGGTTGGGTATCGACCTATGAACCAGGAGGTCACGGTTTCATTCCTGGTCTGGACACATGCCCAGGTGCGGACTCGATTCCCAGTGTGGGGCATGCAGGAGCCAGCCAATCAATTATTCTTTCTCATCACTGATATTTCTTTCTCTCTCTTCCTCTCTGAAATCAATAAAAATATATTTAAAAAATAAATAAAACCTCAGCTTCTTCACTGTGGCCAAGTCCCGCCCTTTCCATCTTTAAGTGTTGAGAGTGCCGGCACAGAGGAACGGCCGGTCTGCCTGCTGGGGTGCCCTGTGTAGAGGGGCAAGGCAGTCTGTGCAGGGCTGCAGGGCCTCCTAGGGTAAGTGAGCTGCATGGAAGGCCAGCTTTAGCAGCAGCCTTCTCACTGTGCCCATCTCCACCTGGGGCTCCCTCCCAACCACGCCTTTGGCATGTACTGATCACAGGATCCAAGACTCTCTTTGTGGCCCCTTGGTACAGGAGCCTTGGACATCAGACAGACACTGGACAGGGCTTATGGGGTGGGAGGCAGAGAGCCTGGGCCCAGCTTCCAGGAGCTCCTTTCACTTCTAACATGTACAAGCTAACTGGCACGCTCAGCTTGCAGACATGATTTATCAAAGAGGAGCGGTAAACCTTTTCATAGACAAAGTCCTTTCCCATCCCCTCTGAGGCTGACTCACTGCTAGGACCCACCAGCCATATGGAAGAGCTAGAAGATCCTTGAAGGCCCTGCTCATCCACCTGACCAGGCTAAAAAGAGGCTTCCCAGAAGCTAGCAGCCCCTGGTCCCCACCCCAGCCTAGCGGGGTCCATGGGTTCTGGGGCTCTTCAAGTATCCACTCTAGTTAGATGGAAATAGGCTCCAAGCTCAGATAGGTAGAGATGGAGACCATACTGAGAAAGAACTGGTCTTGAGAGGGCTGGGTACCACCAAGTCCCCTGTGCTGCTGCAGCAGTGATAGCACCTACATAGTTGTCAGCCTACAGCACATTCCATCTAAGGCAGTGGTTCTCAACCTTCCTAATGCCGCGACCCTTTAATACAGTTCCTCATGTTGTGGTGACCCCCAACCATAAAATTATTTTTGTTGCTACTTCATAACTGTAATTTTGCTACTGCTATGAATCGTAATGTAAATATCTGATATGCAGGATGTATTTTCATTGTTACAAATTGAACATAATTAAAGCATAGTGATTAATCACAAAAACAATATGTAATTATATATGTGTTTTCCGATGGTCTTAGGCGAACCCTGTGAAAGGGTCGTTCGACCCCAAAGGGGTCACGACCCCCAGGTTGAGAACCGCTGATCTAAGGAGCAAGAATGTCCCAGAGCAGGTGGTCCTTCCGAAGTTACCCAACCCCCATTCATACACACAATGGGCTCACATGAAATCTGCTACCACAGGATATGGCTGTTGTCACCTTAACCTCTTAGCTGGCCTCAGGATGACTTCCCCAGGAGCCTAAAGCTTCTACTCCTACACAGAAGTAAACATCTCACTCCCAGCTGGCTCCCAACATGAAACCCTGTACCCCTTGCCAGGCCTGGCACAGGCACGATTCTCAGTAGGACCTGCACCCGCCCTACTAGGAAGTGCCAGCTGGCCTGGTGTCCTGTGTCCCCACACTCTCTGATAAGGGCTGGTGTAGCCACAGATATTTTAGGAAAGTTATCTTTTACCCTTGAAAAAGCCACAGATCTCTTTCATTTTCTCCACATAAGTAGTATAGCCATTTATTAGAGTATTTATTTAGTATTGCCAGATGAAATATATTTATATAACTGACTTTATGAATTGATCAAGTACCTAAGAATTGTTACGTGATTATACAAAGTTACAAAAATAAAGTATAGACCTTAAAATATAAAATCTTAATCATTTTAGGCCAGGTCCACTGAGGATGGGGAGGAATGACCTCTTTGAGGTGAGGTGGGGGATGACCCCTAGCTGGGGAGAAGGCTTGGACTCTATGAAAGTGGGGGAAGGGCCTTGCCAGGGAAGCCACAGTGGCCAGCCTCTTCCAGCTCTGAGACAGTGGCACGCTGGGAATTAGGGGAATGTGAGTCACATGTTGACACCTAGTTTGCTATAGGAGGAGATTTATCGAGCAACTTATTTCCCAATTTGACATGTTGAGGCTCTTTCCTTCAATGATGCCAGTTCATCAGCAGCAATGGAGCCTGGCATGTAACTCTCTGGGGAAGGGTGTGCTCAAAATGTTCCCCTGAGGTACTTGTAGCAGGACACCAATCCCACCAACCGACTGGGTGATAAGACCATGTGTGTATGCTGGGCGGGGGCCAGAGAACATTACAAAACAGCTTTCTGAATGGCAAGTTTTTAAAAATCTTACATCATCCTGAGGCAAGTGTTTGCCCAAAAAGACCTCAGAGCTGCTTTCCTAAAAAGTAATTACAGCAATACCGATGACTTGTTTTACACAGAAATAAGAGCTTGAAAAGTATTTTCTAATCTTCCCGGTAGGCTGATCATGCATGCATTTTCCCCTGTGGACATCTTTAACAGAAGGGTACCACTGTAAGGTGTTATTGGAAGGTGGACTCAGCCCAGCAGAGCTCACTGAATGCACATTCTTACAATGCAGTTGGCTCTCAGAGGCCACACTCCACAGTAGCTTGACTGCTCCATCCGGGAAGTACATTCCACGCCCAGGGGATCCCGATGGGAGACCTGGTAAAAAGCCAGTCCTCCAGAGCCCTTCAGCCAGACTGTGCCTGTTCTCACAGGAATTAGAAACAAGCGGAACCACCGTGCTGCTTGAGAGAGCTCGTCAGGGGCACACCACTCTAGAGTAAATAACTTTGTGTACCAGTCTACTGTCCTGGCTAAGCCTGGATCGAGCTATAAAATGTTCTGTAACCTTATTTTTGTATGGAAATTTGAAAGAAGCTAGAGTGCTCCATTAGCCCAGGGGTTGGGACCTACCTGTCGTAACAAGACGACCAGAGTATATTCAAAAGCAAACACAATTAGCTTCTGAAGGGTCACGAGTTTCTCAAAATGTAATGAGATAAGATTAGAAAAAAGAGAAACTTTTATTTACAACCATGGGAATCCCACAGGAGTACACGAAACACACATAATGTGTACACACACACATGAACCTCTGAAGCCAGTGGCACGCCACGCCCTCAGTGCCCTATCCGCACCAACATCACCGTGACGTTATCCGCCGAACCCCGCTGCACTGCCTTGTTGGCCAGCCTATTGCAGGCTGCTTCGTAGCGGGCATCCACAGCAGGCTTCCCTTCCCGGCTCTGGATCTTCTCATCCTGCCGGGCAGGAAAGGGTGCTGGTGAATAGGGGAATCCTGCACCCCACCACTCTCCTGGGACAGCATCGCCAGAAGGAAGAATTGCTCAGTCTCCATCAGGGCAGGCAGGACAAACTGACCAGTCTCCCGGACATTGAAAATGCACACAAGGATACCCCCCAACAATGGGGATGTAGGGGAGGACTGGGGTGTCAGTAAGGTACAGCTGGACAACTGGCACTCACTCCCTTGTGCAATTTCTTACCTCGAGGCAGGACAAGATGAAGTTCACAGCTTCTTCTGGGGTAAAGACCTTGAAGAGGCCGTCGCAGGCCAGCAAAATGAACCTACAATACAGGGAAGAAATATAAATGGGTGTTAACAGTAAACTCCATAAAATCGCCAGTAACAGAGGAAAAAGAAACAAACACTTGTCCAACTACGAAAAAGCTAAGACTTTTAAAAAAGTAATTTGACTTCTATGAGACAAAGATTAAAACTACTTAAAAATAATTGTAGGTGGGTCTAATACATCAAAACTGGAACATGCCTTCTGTTCACCAATATTGAAAGTATGAATTCAAACATTAGGTAGGTATTGCACCTTCTTATATAAACGCAAAAGGTACATCACTGAATAAAAACATCAGGTATTATGGTAAATATACACAGAACTTCTTTCGCCACCTGCCTTGAGCCATTTCCCAAAGACATAAAGCTAGTGGTTAGACCAGGGGTGGGCAAACTTTTTGACTCGAGGGCCACAATGGGTTCTTAAACTGGACCGGAGGGCCGGAACAAAAGCATGGATGGAGTGTTTGTGTGAACTAATATAAATTCAAAGTAAACATCATTACATAAAAGGGTACGGTCTTTTTTTTTTTTAGTTTTATTCATTTCAAATGGGCCGGATCCGGCCTGCGGGCCGTAGTTTGCCCACGGCTGGGTTAGACCTAAATGGAACATCCTAGAAGCCATGCTGAGTCCAAGGCCCCAGGAGAACCACCACCCACCTTCACTGTCTGAAAACAGGATTATTTCCCTACCAAAACCCCCATCCTCTGGGCTTCCCAAGGAAAGTCATTCTGAACAATGGTGGCTCAGATAGAAAGATTTTAGTTCTCCAAGCACCAAGGAATGTTCCCCACGGCTTTAACCACTTCTCTTTTCTCACTGTCATACCCAGGTCTTAGTTCTCCTCTTCTGACTGGGCATTCATTCAACAGGCATTTACCAGCACCTAGTCTGTGCCTGGGACAGTGTGGGGCACAAGTCCCAGAAGACTCCTTCCCCTTCCAGTGAGGTGACAACCATCCAGAATGGAACTAGCATATCACACAGCAGGGGCCTGGTCTGGGGGCAGGCAGACAAGACTTTCCTGGGGCATCACTCAGAAAAACAGAGGAGGGGCTAGTGGAAACACGTTCCAAGACCCTAGGGTCAGCAAGAGCATGGCGTGCTGAAGGCAGGCATGGAGAACAGGGAGGCTGAGCAGGGAGGACCAAAGTAGGGCTCCTTACCTGCAGCACTGAGACCAAGGCTCAGAGCTATGCTCCAGAAGAGCTCCTACCCCCAAGGCTGCAGCTTGATCAATGAGCCTTTCACAGCTCCCTCATCACTCATTCTTGTGAGCCCCTTGTTCTGAGCTCTTTCCTATTCTCCTCTGCACCACTGCCTCAGTTCAGCCCCCGTTCAAGCCAGGGCCACCACCATATCCTAATGAGCCCCTGGGCTCCATCCTGCTCCAACCCCCAACATTTAGGACTTCCTGCCACCAGGCAGCCAGGCAGTGTGGTGCCTCATCTTCAGGCAGCTTAGAATGGCGATGGACAACTGAACAGACCGTCTTTCTCAACCTAGCTTGGTCTGCCTAAAAATCGCCCATGACCCTCCATCATGAGAAGCTAAAATTCAAACTCCTCAGCATGGAACTCAGTCAGTGGCCATCATCTCTCACCAACATCCCCTGCCACCATTCGCCCTTTCACGCCATCCCATTTTAATGCCTTTGTTGTGTGTTTCCTCTACTAGAAAACCCTCTTGTTCCTCCAACAGGGACACCCCCCACCCCCACTGGCCAGGCTCCCAGAGCAGCCCATACTCCTAGGACACGAGTGCCCCCAACCAGACTGTGTGGCCCACTAGAGCAGAACTGTAGAACTGTATTTTATCTCTCTGCACCTCCAGGGCCTAACACAGTGCCCAAGACACGGCTCCTTACAAGCCAAGAGTGGGGATAGATAGACCATATATGTGCATGCCCATGCCTCTAGCGGGCATTTTTACCTGTCATTGGGGGTCAGCTGGCAACGTCTGATGTCTGGCACAGAAGTGACCCCGCAGCGCTTGTACTGCCCATCCCCAATGGATCGGGACACCTCCAGCACACCTAAGACACGTCCGTCCCTAAAACAAAGGGAAAAGAATTCAGGCTCCGTCGGCCAGATCATAAGGCCACAGTACTTACACTCTGATCTTAAAATCAGAAAAATAGGACAGAATGAAAGATGTAGCCTGCAGAATTCACATTAAACAGCATCATGCCCTAGCCGGTTTGGCTCAGTGGATAGAGCGTCAGCCTGCGACTGAAAGGTCCCAGGTTCGATTCTGGTCAAGGGCACATGCCCAGGTTGTGGGCTCGATCCCCAGTGGGGGCTGTGCAGGAGACAGCCGATCATGATTTTCTCTCATCATTGATGTTTCTATCTCTTTCTCCCTTTCTCTCTGAAATCAATAAAAATATGAAACAAATAAAAAAAAACCACACAAAACAGCATCATCTCCTGACCTCAAATAATACACAGGAGATGTGCTGAGTCTCCATTGCTCTAGGTCAAGCATGCCAAACTCAGCCCACAACAAATATTTTTGCTGCCCAGCCAATATAACAGTATGTAAGAAACGTTTTAATAAAAATTTCGTAACTTTTACAATATCCTGTTATACATAATTATTAATAATGAACTACAATGTTCTAATGACTGATTACTATAATCGTGTTGCATTCATTTCCCTGACGCACAGGTGCACCATTTCTCTCACTAATACCAGCAGCGAATATTTTAGCAGCCAATTGCCTCGTCCTTAGTCTTGGACTAACTTGTTTGGTGTGTGCTACAGGAAATATTTCGCTTTCAGAGAATAAGAAAAATAGGTTTATTTGCGTCACACTTATTAATTTGTGCAGTTATTCATTGTCTGGTAAGTCAGTGTTCAAGGAAAAATATTAATTTATATTAAAATGTTCCATTATTTTATGTTAACGATTACTCATTTCAGCCCTTTGTATTCAGCATGTCTCTCTCGAAATAAACCTACATTTCTACGAAAATTGAAGCTTTTGTTTTTTTGCGGCCCACATAAACTTAAACCTTGTTTATTTGGCCCGTGTTAGCCTTTGAGTTTGACATGTTTACTCTAGGTCCGTGGTCGGCAAACTGCGGCTCACGAGTTACATGCGGCTCTTTGGCCCCTTGAGTGTGGCTCTTCCATAAAATACCACGTGCAGGCGCGCGTACAGTGCGATTAAAACTTCGTGGCCCATGCGCAGAAGTCGGTTTTCGGCCTGGGCGAGTCTATTTTGAAGAAGTACTGTTGATATTTGGCTCTGTTGACTAATGAGTTTGCTGACCACTGCTCCAGGTCATTAATATCCCTGCGGCCCTTGGTGCCTCAGCCAGGCTGCACATTAGAGGGAACAGTGCCCCCTCTGGCTGCACTTATGTGGTCACAATGGCCAGTTGATTTGCCCAAAGCTGGGAGTGGACTTAACTGGACTGAATAGGGGCTTGGCTTTGTTTTTCTGTTTATCTTAAAGCTCCTTAGGTGATTTGAGCATGCACACAGGGTTAAGAAAAGGTGGAACAGAGGACTATTTTGCATTTCAATCTAATTAGGTTTGGAAAATACTCAAAGTGACCATTCCCAGACTCCACAACACCTTTTATTTCCACTGGGTATGGGTATGATTAACTAACATACAATTGGTAACACTCTGCATAGCATTACACTTTTACCCGTCCTATTTTTAGGTAAAGGACACAGAGATGGTAAGGTGACCCATAAGTGGGACCATGCTGAAATACAGGGGAACAACAGTCCTTGACTCAAGGCCCCAAGAACAATTCTGGTGGTGCTACCACTGTGTGACCTCAGGCAGCTGCCACTGGGGGCCCTCAGACTCTCATGTCTACAGCCAGAGGAGAAACCACACTGGAGAAGATGCAGAAGAGCTTTTGGCAAACACCAAAGCTGGGCCTGGAGATGTTGTGTCAATGGAGGCACATGGCAGAACATCCTCGCCTGGGCCTGGGCCACTGTCTCGGAGTCAGAATTCAGCCTGGTCCTGGCCCTACACTGTGCCCAGTCACCCTCCCCGCAGGAACAGCTGAGGGATCAGCAACAGACTTAACCAGGCACCTGAAAGAAATTAAGCAGTACTCCCCATACAATTACTGCAGCAAACAGCAGGGGGCGAGGTACACAGGAGCAGAAGTGAAGATGGACAGGGTGGGTTGGGGGAGTCCCTCAGCCCTAAGAGTGCCATTAAGGAAGCCGCTCAAAGCATAAGAATCCAACCAAGTGCTTCTTCAGTGACCAAGTGGCCAGGTGCCCGGTATGGACACCCCTCCGCCACATCATGAATGCAGCTCGTTTCAAGGAGACCGAGTGTCATGACCTGGGCACAGGGCTGGACCACCACCTTCATGCTCAGACAAGTTCAACAGGACTACATGCTTCTTCACTACCCTCAGAGTTCCCCCACACCACCGTGCTGAGGAGTGAGGGGCTCTTAAGTCTCAACCCATGAATCCTGGGTACCACCTTCTCTGGCGCATTCCCCACTTTTGCTCAGCATTGTGTTAGTTCCCATCCCTTTCCCACCTGCCCATCAATCATAGCTTCATGCTTCCTCAGCCAGACAACTATTTTCCTGCTAGTTACACAGACAGAAGCCCTGATCTCTGTGATCTTTGCTGGTACTTTCTGTTCCAGTTTCTTCTTCACAATGAGAGAGAGGCACTGAGACGGTTGCCCTGGCGGCCAGGATAAGCTGCACACTGCTCTAACGTCAGCTCCTCTAGCACATCAGCAAAAGCAGGACACAGTCGGTCTCGATGCTTTTGCATCCTCTTCTGACTCAGATGCCCAAGTCCTGTGTCTTACTATGATGGATGCTAACAAAGTAACTGAAGGTGGATTCCAGAATAGCGCCTTTTCGATATCAGAGACCTGAATGTGACCTGGTCCCAGACACATGCACTGCGTATTTGTTTATTTAATATACTTTTATTGATTTTCTTTTACAAAGAGGAAGGGAGAGGGATAGAGAGTTAGGATAGTTAGAAACATCAATGAGAGAAACACCGATCAGCTGCCTCCTGCACACCCCCTACAGGGGATCAAGCCCACAACCAAGATACATACCTTGGACTGGAATCAAACCAGGGACCATTCAGTCCGAGGGCGGATGCTCGCCACTGAGTCAAACCAGTTAGGGCTGTACTTCATATTTACATCTAAATGCTACACATGCAAGCTTGCCTCATCTGTCCTGTCCAGTTGCCTTCCTCGTAAAATAAAAATAAAACTGCACCTTCTCAGAGAAGTCCACTGAGATAGTGTGACACATTGCTGCACACAGTATGCTACCTTTGGTGGAAGAAAGTAGGAAAAATAAGAATCTGTACACAGATTTGCTTCTTTCTGTAAGAAGAAACATTGGAGAGAATCCAGAACTATGAGTAAGGGGGACAGGCACGGAATCTATAAATAAGCCTTTTTATTTAACCATGTAAATGTGGGTTATTTTTTAAATTATAGTAAAAATATATACAAGATAAGATTTGCCTTTAACTATTTTTAACGTACAGTTGAGTGGCATTAACTGAGTTCACACTATTGTGCAGCCATCACCACCATCAGCTCGAGAACTCTCTTAATCTTCCCAAACTGAACCTCTGTTAAACATTCACACCACACCCTCTTCCCCTAGAGACCCCCATTTCACTTCCTGTCTCTATGAATCTGGCCATTCTATGCACCTCATATTCATGGAATCATACAGTGTTTGTCCTTCAGCGACTGGCTCATTTCACTCAGCATCAGGTCCTCAAGGTTGATCCATGCTGTAGCCAATGAGATGATTTCCTTCTTTTATAAGGCTGAATAGTATGCACTATATGGATGGACCACATCTGTTTAGCGCTTCATCTACTGATGGACACTAGGATTGCTTCCACTGTTTGGCTGTTGTCAATAATCCTATATAATAAAAGCCCAGCGACCGAATGGTGCAACAACTGGAATGACCGTAGCCCCTCACCCTGGCTGGCCCTGCCCCTGATCGGCCCCCATCGGGGCGGGCTGACTGGACCCCACCAGTGCATGAATTCATGCACTGGGCCTCTAGTATTACTATAAACATGTATGTGCACACCCGTCCAAATCCTTGCTTGCAATTATTTTGTGGAATTGCTGGATCACATGGTAATTCTATTTTTAATATTAGAGGAACCTCCATACTGTTTTCCACCACAATTGCACCATTTTACATCCCCAACAACAGTGCACAAGGTTCAGATTTCACCATGTAAAAGGCTTATAATATAGGGGGAAAAGCCCTAAAATCTAAGACAAATTGAAACTAGTGATAATGACAAAGGTGGTAACACAAGCACAGTGAAAGCAATTATTCTAGGTTTACAAACATGTCCTTCATGAGAAATAGTTCAAGGACAAGATAACCACACTATAAGGAACTCAAACTTTGTAATAGTGATAATGCAAATAAATGTACTGTTATTAGGAACCAAGATTTTCAGCAAAAAGGACAGATCTATGACTACTGACTCACAAAAGAGAAAGCCCTGTACTGTTAAATTTGAATAAGAAATAGCAGCCTATGCTCACCATCTAAAGAGTACTGAACAGACTTAGAATTAGTGACATCCCGGGTGAAACAAGAGTCCCCAGCACATGGAGCTAGGTTTTAAAGATGAATGGAACAGTCAGCTCAAAGGCACTCCCTTTCACTGGCTACATTGGGGGTAAAGTGAGCAGGAAACGCACCAGGACCCTATGACTAGCATCAGCACTGAAATCACACCCCCTGACAAATGGTGGTTCACAGAGCAAGGAGAGAGGAGAAAGGGAGAGAAGCGGAGTGAAAAGAAAAACCACTAGGCACCTGGGTAGCTCAGTTGGTTACAGCATTGTTCTGATAGGCCAAGGTTGCAGTTTCAACCCCATCAGGGCACATACAAGAATCAATCAATGAATAAGTTAAATTAAGTTAACAAATCAATCTTTCTCTCTCTTTCCCACCCCCTCCCCTCTGTCTCTAAACATCAATCAATGCAGAAAAAAAAAAATAAGGGAAAAAACCCACTAATTTCCATAAGTGCAGGGGGCCATCTTACTTTGCAAATTGATAATGAAAGAATTGGACAGCCAGTTGGCCTGGAGGTCAAATCCCCCTAGTATTAACTACAACAATCAAGGCTTAACAACAACAAGACTGCGCACAAAGACCACTAGTGGGTGCACCCAGAAAGCATAAAAAATGCGGAGACAAAGAAACAGGACAAAATTGTCAATGATGTATATTGAGTTCAGAACCACACTTTTAAGGTCCCTCAAGAACTGTCTAGAAGCCGCCGATAAACTTATTGAGATCTACAAGAAATCTAATGAGACCCTCGATGTTGTGATAAAGAACCAACTAGAAATTAAGCATACACAGACTGAAATAAAGAATATTATACAGACTCCCAACAGCAGACCAGAGGAGCGCAAGAATCAAGTCAAAGATTTGAAATGCGAAGAAGCAAAAAACACCCAACCGGAAAAGCAAAATGAAAAAAGAATCCGAAAATACGAAGATAGTGTAAGGAGCCTCTGGGACAGCTTCAAGCGTACAAACATCAGAATAATAGGGGTGCCAGAAGATGAGAGACAGCAAGATATTGAAAACCTATTTGAAGAAATAATGGCAGAAAACTTCCCCCACCTGGTGAAAGAAATGGACTTACAGGTCCAAGAAGAGCAGAGAACCCCAAACAAAAGGAATCCAAAGAGGACCACACCAAGACACATCATAATTAAAATGCCAAGAGCAAAAGACAAAGAGAGAATCTTAAAAGCAGCAAGAGAAAGAAACTCAGTTACCTACAAGGGAATACCCATACGACTGGCAGCTGATTTCTCAACAGAAACTTTGCAGGCCAGAAGGGAATGGCAAGAAATATTCAAAGTGCTGAATACCAAGAACCTACAACCAAGAATACTTTATCCAGCAAAGCTATCATTCAGAATTGAAGGTCAGATAAAGAGCTTCACAGATAAGGAAAAGCTAAAGGAGTTCATCACCACCAAACCAGTATTATATGAAATGCCGAATGGTATCCTTTAAGAAGAGGAAGAAGAAGAAAAAGGTAAAGATACAAATTATGAACAACAAATACACATCTATCAACAAGTGAATCTAAAAATCAAGTGAATAAATAATCTGATGTACAGAATGAACTGGTGATTATAATGAATCAGGGACATAGAAAGGGAATGGACTGACTATTCTTGGGGGGGAAAGGGGAATGGGAGATGCGGGAAGAAACTGGACAAAAATCGTGCACCTATGGATGAGGAATTGAACATCGACCCTGCTTTCTGGAAAGCAAGTATGGTTCATTCATACCCCACTGATGAAGGAAAGCCTCTCCTTGTAGGATGCCTGTTAATACCTGTGGCAGGAATTCCAGAAGCAGGAAATCATCTTTGTCATCCCTATGAAATAGATTCAGACAAGAATCACTAAGGGACCTACCACCATGAGATGAAAGATGGATGCAAAACAGAATGTTCCCAAGGTGCTAAAGCACATCTCTCCAGATCACCTGCTGATCACACAGGAAAACCTGTGCCTTTCCCTGTGGGGACTCATTACCACCAAAGTCCAGTGCTGGGAACTCAGCAACAGTGACCTGACGTGGCCACTAAAGTGAGGGATCATCAAATATAGGCCACCCCCCAATATTTTTCTAAAAATGTTTCATCTGAATCTAAAGAAGACTTTAGAGCTAATTTCTAGTTTATGGGAAAAACATGCAAACAACTTAATTGATACCATGAAAACACAGGCAAACTCAGAACGTGACCCTATACAACCACTGGCCTAGACAACTGCATGATCCAACCTGAGGAAGAGTGGAGACCATTCTACACTGAATGATGTGAATCCAAGGTGAGCATGAGCGCTGGCTGGACCCTGTTTTCAAACCAAGACACTTTGGGGACAACTTGGAGAAATATGAATACAGACAGAATTACAGATAACCTAAAGAATTATTTTCTTAAGTGTTATCTGCAACTAACTTCCAGATAGTTCTGCCTAGCATACACATACATGAAGCAAATATGGCAAAATGTTAATTACTAAATCTAGGTGGTAGATATTGAAATGTTTACTTAATTTTATAAAATGTTTGATAATTTTAATGAAGTGGGAAGGGTAGAGGGAAATAAATGCCCACCAGTCCTGGACTCGGCAGATGGGGTCACAGCCTGGCCCTGCTGCTGAGGAGCAAGGTCACTGCCACATGAGCCTCCTTGCCCTCTTCTCTGAAGTGCAGGGTTCACCTTGAGCACACTGTCAAATGAGCTCCCTAAGGTGGGTACTGGGAAAAAGGAAGAACCTGCAACAGAGCTGATCATTCACCCATAGGACTGTCAATGTCAAAAGCCTTTCCAAGGAGTTCAGGCAAAGCAGAATTTTAAAGTTATAAGAAAGGGCAGAAAAGATGATGCTGACATTAACACTGGGATCACATTCTCGAGCATTAACTTCTGCAGCAGCCACAATGGGAAAATGGGGCACGTGCCACTGCCCAAGGTCTAGAACCATGCCCACAGTCCCATCAGTGCTAAGATGACCACACTATGACCAAGGTTATCTCTTACTACCATTCCAGCAATTTTGAACAAACTCAAAGAGTGCTGCCTCCTCTCCAGACCTCTCTGCACTGCTGGCTAGAATCAGCCTGGAGTAAAACTTGTCTAAGGACAAGTGATTGCAGCCTTATATTGCTGATACTTCTCTCTCATCTCCAACAAAAATGTAAGACTAATGGTCAAACTGTAAAATGAACCAGAAAACACTTCTGGTCAAATCCATAACACCATGTCCCAGGAGTGAATCCTCGTTAAGTGTATTACGACTGAAGCCTTGGAGAGATGAATGGAGGTGCTGTGGGCAGAACCAGGGCAGAAGGCCCCTGGCCAGGGGAGCTGCTCCCCAGGAAACCCAGAGACCGTCAACCTGTCACATACTTCCTGTCTAAATACTTTAGATGTTCTCTCTGAGCAACTCCCCTAAACTGTAACTTATTCAGTTGTGACAAATGATAGTATTTATGGAAGTTCCTAGGACCAGAGAACTGTTGCAAATGGTGACCTTGAATTTGAGGCAGGTTTCCTCCCTTTGCAAATTTAGGAAGGCATGTTTCTTGTACACATTTTGCTCCCACTTGGACATAGTGAAATCCTACAACCTTCATTCACCTACTTCACAGGTCAGACCTCAGTCTCATCACACTAAAGGCTGCATGACAAGGAAAGTTCTCCGCTCGGAGGACTTATGGCCATTCCTCCCTCCCTCCCTGGAGTTCCCACAGTCCCTGGTTACCTGACGTTCCCTCCAGCCTTCTGTATTCTCATTCGTTCTTCATACTGTGTTGGGTTATGCTCCTTGCTGAGGCTTAAGGCTGCATGTTTTTGACTCTCCTCATTATAACGACACAGGATTGCCTGGGAAGATGGAGATTACAACAGCAATAAAATTCAGGAGCCCAGTGCCCAGAGTTACCAGTTGAAGACAAAGGTCAACCATGGAGTTTCAGAGTCAGCCTCCTGCCGACAAACACGAGTTCAAAGAAGAGCCCAAGTGGCAAAGTGGTGTCACAGTAACACTAGCCAGGGAGAGAGGCCCCGGTGTGGGCTCTGTTGGGTGACTAGAGTGGGCACTCATCCTCTCTAAGATGTTGTCCTCTCATGGGTGACGTGGAAAGGAGGCAGTTAATGAGCACCAAAGCCCCCTTTGGGCCGAGTTACTAGTTCCCACGTCTACACGAGGCAAAGATGAGGGCATGCTGACCAAGTGCATCTCCATGTGCTCCTGACACCACATTTACCATATAGTAACTTCTGGATAAACCTGGATTTTACAGAGGAGGGAGCTGAGGCCTGGAGGATAGGTATCATGTCCAACGTCACACACAGGATTCAAATTTGACTCCAAAGTCCCCCCTCTCCCTTTGTCTTGGTCCAATTTTACTCATGCTATTTTAAGTCACTTGGTCAAAACACTTATGTACTGGAGATAGCCTACTAAGAGGACCTCCAGAATATAAACTCCACTAGGCAGGAACTGTCATCTGTAATGTTCACGGCAGCATCCCTACTGTTTATTTCTTCAGGAAATAAATCACCCTAAAAGCTACAGGGGCTGGGGGCAGCTGTCTTCAGTTCTGCAGATGGTGCTCATGGGTGGGAAGAGTCACTCTGTCACTGTGACTCCAAAGGATCACGAGACGGAGGCTGGCTGAAAATGCTCCTGGCTGAAGGCAGGGGGCTGAACCCACCTTGCAGAAGGCCAGCCTCTAGCTTTGTTTCCCACCACAGGCTGTCAGCAGTGGGAAATGACTGGCTTTTCTCCCTTAGCCTTGTGAACTGGGCTCCTTGCATGAATGGCGCATCACCTAGCACTTTCCTAGCTGCAGCTCTTGAGTTATTCTAACATAACAATGATTTTGAGAAGCAAGGGCCTGTGGTCAGAGATATGAGGTTAAGTGATATTTGTAACTGCACACCAATTAAATTCCAACCTATAGCACTACCCTGACAGAGTACACACACAAAAGGAAACAGAAAACAAAAAGAATGTATTTGGGTTTTAAAGCAGAAGAGGTCTACTGCAGGATGTAAGTCTTCCCAGGGAACAAAGTGACCCAAGCTCAGCTGTTGCTCCCCACCCAGAATCTACACTCTGCACTGGAGCCCCTGCAGCAATCCCGCAGAACATTCCGACCCAGCCTTCGTCATTTCAATCTTAGTCAACAAGCGCCTGCTGCCACTCTTCCCCACAGAACATGGTGTTAGCTAAGCGGGTGGCTCCAGAGCCGCATACCCGACTATCTCCGAGGTTGGCAATATAAAGAGTGTTGTCTACAGCCAGAACACACGTGGCAGTGGACCCATCTTTCCAGGCAGGTTTCCTGGGGGGAAAGACATCAGAAATACAGTCACCACCAACATGCTAGCACTTCGAAACTAATTTCCAGAGTTGAATGGGAAGTGGTGTAAACTTTAAAATGAAGAGTTTCCTTAATACTTGCTTTTTTTCTGTTTCAGATTTAGTTAACAATTACAAGAACTTACTTGGTGCCAGGTACTTTTCAGACAGTGAGTGTTAGTATGAAACAGAATCAGAAGATCTGAAATGCATCCAGGAAAAGAACACACACACACACACACTTCATTCATACGTTTTCATGTGGTTTCACTTACTGGCTTGAAGCTTGTTTAAGAAACTCTTCATCAGTATGCTTAAAAGTGTCCAAAAGGCATCTCTTCACAGTTTTCTCCACACTGATTACATCTCCTATTACAGAAGGAACAAAAGAAAAACTCTTAAGGAGGAAAGGTTACCCTCCACCCACTGTCATTCTGTTTCTGAACTACGACCAAGAACAATCTGCACGGCTGGTGTGGCTCAGTGGTTGAGCATTGAACTATGAACTAGGAGGTCATGGTTCAATTCCTGGTCAAGGCACATGCCTGGGTTGCAGGCTTGATCCCCAGCAGGGCGTGTGCAGGAAGCAGCCGATCAATGATTCTCTTTCATCAATTATGTTTCTATCTCTCCCCTACCCTTCCTCTCTCTGAAATCAATAAAAACTTTTTTTTAAAAATAAAAACTATCTATTTCCTCACCTACAGGACAGTACCATTTGCACTGGTGGTAGTAGACTCCCAAGTATAAAGGCAGGACACACACTTGTATCACAGACATTTCAGGAGAGGTGCCCATCACTCAGAGACATGAGGAGCTCTACAAGGCACACCTGCTCACCTCAGAGCCCACTCCTCACAGGTTTGCTCTTTTACTTATTTATTATTTTTAAATATATTATTATTGATTTCAGAGAGGAAGGGGAGAAGGAGAGATAGAAATATCAATGATGAAAGAGAATCATTGCCTCCTGCACAGCCCCTACTGGGGCTTGAGCCCACAACCTGGGCATGTGCCTGACCAGGAATCTAACTGTGACCTCCTGGTTCATGGGTTGATATTCAATCACTGAGACACCTGGCTGGGCTCAGCTCCACTCTTTTAATTGTCATGATTTTTGTAAAAGCCAAAACGACATCTCAGTGAGTCACACAAACAGCAAACACCAAGATGAACATGAACTGATTTATTTCTATCTCACCTTTAGGAAATTTCCTGATTAAGTTCTGATGTAAATTCTGTGCAGCAAATTTTGAGGCTCGAATTCCTCCATGTCCATCAAAAACAGCAAAATAGGAAACCCGGGTACTAGGAGAATGATTGAGAGTCAATGAGATTCTCACAGCAAACATTATACCTCTCCATTAAAGCTTTCCCACCTTATTTCAAACAGTGAACTTTGACACAACAGAGGAAGTCCCACCGGTAAGACACCAGTCACACTGTCATGAATGGAAAACAGGTAATGACACTGAGACAAATGTGTAAGTAAATTTCATAGTATTTCAAAATTAAACATGTTTTAAAAATCAAGGTCTATTAACTGATTTTTCACTGAAGGTGAAACTAAAATTCAGGATTTTTTCTATTTAAACTAGATTTGGTTTTAAACACCAAGACACAGATAAACAGTTACTGACCAAGAATCAAAAATATCTGTAAGGGCAGGGGGCAGGGTTGTTACTCAAACTTGGACAGATATCTAAATCTTAAAGCCTACCTCACCAGACTTATTCCTATCCCCCTCTCAAGTTTTGCCAGAAAACTCACATATATATGGAATAAATGGCATTTATAAAGGGTTTCAAGAAAAAAATAAAATCCTTATGAGAAAGAACATTTTTACTGCGGAGCTGCTTTTTCCAAACATTTTTGCAATATCTTTTCATTTGGGACATCATGAGACACAGGAAAAATAAACTCAGAACTTAAAACTGCTATCTTGCAGCATGGTATCTACCAGGTATGGGTTAGTGTTCCCCACCAAAGGGTTCCTTAGAAGTACCTATCCTGGCTTTAAAAGCCCCCTCCGAGGGCTCCTTAGAAGTACCTATCCTGGCTTTAAAAGCAACTCCATAGTACACTCCTGATCCTGGTGAGCATGAGTGCATGCATATATACACAGATGACCTTATAGGGCCATCACCTCCTCATCTACTGGACAAAAGCCACTAGCACCAATGGCTCCAGCACACTGTATGTTAACAACCAACTGGTGTCAGTTAATGAATGTATCGTATATGTTATGTAATTATGGAAATTAGGTGGTATATATGTAATTATTATATATGTAAACATGTAAGTTAATGACCACCTCCACATCCCACCTTTGGGTTGCTTTTCCACCACACCCAAGACCTTATCCAGAAGGCTTCATTGAGTTTGTGCAGGTTTGGTAATTTCCTGTTTTTCTTCTCCTGATGCCATTCCTGCATCTGGTTCTCTTTCTGTGCCCTCACTAGCTGCACTAGCTCTCCTTCCTTCACTGCTATGTTCAGTGGTTTCCAGCTCTAGCTTCTGGGTCCCAGAACAAGAAAACTCCCTGCAAGCAGCTCTTCAGATTGTGGGGAAGAGAACACACCCTGAAGGCCCCCAATGTGGAGCCATTTCCCATTTATCAGGTTTCTCGATTTCAGCATGACTGACATTTGGAGCTGCACGATTCTTTGTTGTGGTGCGACCTTGGGAGTTGTAGGATTTAGCAGCATCCTGAGCCTCCCCACCAGATGCCAGTAGCACAACCTTCCACTGTGACAACAAAAAATGCCAAAGGGAGGGGGGCTAAAATCAACTGCGGTGAGAACTACCACTGTTGAACCAAGCAGCTCAAGTGTTATGTGTCAATCTTTCTAATAAATACAAAGTGGACAAAGTCCAAAACTGAAATCAGAGCTTGGTCCAGAGACTTTTAGGCCCACCAGGCTTGCCAGAGCAGGGACACTCACATGAGGGATGATAGGGGCCTACACTCCTCCGTGATGTCATTCAGGATGACATGGGCATCCTGCATCTCCTCCCGCTCGCCCTTCCGCTCAGCCACGTAGCCTTTCAAACCAAAAATCACTGAAGAGGCTAAGGAAAAGAGAACAAAAAGCCAATACAAAACTGTGCCCTGCCCTCCAGAAGCCCTAGTCCCAGAGCAAACAAGAGGGAACTCTGGCTATTTTACTCGGCAGTCTTAACAGGCAAACAAGCTCTTCTCCTCAAGGCATCTCCCCACTACAAGTCTGTAACTGAAATCAGACCACTGATGGTCAGGGCTGGTCTCTGCAAGGCTAAACAGTGGAGAGGAGACAGGCAGATGACAGCAAGTTAGTACAGGACAACTCCGTTTAAGGCATTAAAGCAAAATACCAGAGTTAAGAAATGTACTGTCATTTGAATGGGGGGAGAAGGGGTTCCAGTAAATCTAATCTGGTCAATAATTTCATGAGGACAGAAAAATTCCTACTCTAGAGAAATGCAAGTAGAGTTTATCCCAAAGGTCCTGCTGGACATATGAAAATATGTTATTTTCATGCCTGAGGCTTAGTGAAGAATTTGAACAACTGGTAAGATCAGCTGCTTTTACTCTAATTGAGGGAGAAAAAGATAAAGGGAAGGGACAGATACCTCCTTCTATTGAAAAGCCTGGCTAGCTTAAGCTCACCTTTTGACCCCTAGGGCCATGCAATTGAAGTGAGCACTTTCTGAAGAGCAGCTGTGGGTGGGCAGAGCTCTTTAGGCTAGGGTGCTGAAAACTCAGCTGAAGACCAGCAGAGCAAAGTAGGTCCTCTCATATACCTCCAAGTGCACCCTGCAGCTTTGAGGTGCTTTGTGGTAAAAAAACAAACAAAACCAAAGGGGTTGGGACAGTGAATGAATCTACAACTATTTATCTTTAATAGATACTTTTCATTTCCCTTACTCTGTGACAAATTACAAAGCTGACTACAAATTTCAATTGCTTTTCCCAGCCTTGGGCTCTTTCTAGGGAAGTTGCCTACTGAGTTAACCATAGAATCAAAATACTAATCATCAGGCTGTAACTAAGACAGGGAATTTGAGAGAAATGGATGGTCTGCAGGCTACCTGATCACTAGAAAGGGTTAAGTGAAAACTCTGTGTTGTTTAAGACTAGGAACAACTGTAGGTTTCCTACCTGACCCAAGGTAGGGTCAGAGGCAGAGACGTCCATGGAAAGTAGAGAGAGAGAAGGCAGGAGTAAACTTCAGGAGTCTGTCTGCAAAAAGGGAGCCCTACCCAATTCTTAAATACAGACACAGAGAGGAAGCAGTATCATCAAAAAGCTGAGCTCTGGGTTGTTTTAAATTATGAAGTCTAATACATTTGTTTTCAAACTGTCTGAAAACCTTTACAAACTTTCTTTTCCACAAGCTCTTCACTGCCATTCTCCTCTTCTTCAGAGGGTTTTCTCTTTGCTCCTTTCCCTTCATTCTTTACCATCTGGGATATGGAGGTGTCAAGAGAACCTGGAAATAAAGTAAAAGCCAGACAGAAACAGCTGTAGACTTACAAAAAGACCCCTGCAGATCAGGCTGCATCCCAGCCCTCAAAGATAAAATGTCATGTCCAGCAGTCATAGCTCTGACTCCAAGGGCCAGGCCAGTGTGCCTGGGCACCACAGTGGGAGACCACACCAACCATGAGAGGATCTGCAAGAGAGGCTTCTCAGTGGTAAAAAGAGACATCTGTACTCGGGCTGTAGCACATGCATGGTGTTGTACATCCACAGGCCCTTATTTACAATTAGGGAAGTTTCCAAAATCTGCAAAGTGACACATACTAAACAAGTTAAAAAAAAAAAAAAAAAAAAAAGA